TTAGGATCAATTAATTCCATAATCGAGCTCTTAAATAAAGTAATGTATAAATCCACGAAGCATAGCAAAATCATGCCTTCCTATGGGCGAGTTGGATCTTATGTTCTTACACATGCTAGTAAACAACAACCAATCACCGCCTTGCTTTCAAAAAATCACGCATGAGCAAACGAGTACTAGTTGCTCTGGGCCGACCAAAGGAAGTTTAATTTGTAGGTTGTGCAATAGTGGCCAGGCATGCGTACCGAAACTTCTCGTTTTTTTTACACTCGCATTACTTAAGTGAATTGAAGCGTACTGTAGTTAGACCACAGTCACTATAGTTGATGATTAAACCTGCCTCATATATTTGCTAGCAATACCAACAGATCGTGTTTTGGTAGAGATCTAGAGTAGCGCGGCCGTACTGCTTTAGAAGCGGATCCGATATCTGCACTCACCTATATGGTTCCGATTTATTAAGGGGACGTAACCGATGTTTTCATGTGAAATAGCTTCATATGTTATCAAGATATTTAACAGATTGGTAAATGTGTGTTTGTTTCTCCGCTCGAATTGCAGTCACACCATATTATAATGTTTACAAAACTGGGACACTTTACGGCATTCGGGTCTTTGCCAATAGTGAAAATAATGTACACGTATATCGTCATTATTGTGCATTATTTAATGATTGGCCTATTCCGTCTTTGCATATTGCAGAGTTATCTTCTCTTGTGAGCAGGTATTAATTGTTACGTCATTGGTTTGTGAGACTAACGTCATCAATTTTTGAGAAAACGACGAAATTTTTTCACACAAACCAATGACGTAAGAATCAATACCTGCCCCCAAGAGAAGATAACTCTGCAATACGCAAAGACGGAATTGGTGAGGAGAAAACATTTTTTGTTTGATTTAAAATTATAGAAATGTACCGTAAGTTTGTTATTTTATAACGAAATTGGGTTTTTGTTTCTCATGAAAAAAAAAAAACACCCGGGAAGGACCCTGTCTTGCTGTAATATTTAATTTAGCATCAAATAGTTGTTTTTTATTAACACACCGTAACCTGCAATCATTGTACAGTATAATAACATTAAATTGTAATAAATTGTAAAAAGACCCAAAAAAGGTCGGTTAAACTGCGTTATTTTTCTAAATACTCGGTATTTTCAATATTGGTGAAAAGTGTTCAAGATTAGCATGGCATGAATACAGATTTAATATATTATGTATAATGTGCAATATCAGGGACGTATAGTTATATACTGTCCCTGGCAATATCCATAAATTTTCGAAGTTATGTATATATGTACACCGCAATGTGTCCTTGATGCTTCTACGTTGAATACCCTCTTCAACCTCCCAAGCTCCCTTAAACAAACAGCAAACTCAAAAAACAACATTTAAACAAACAAGAGCCTCGAATAACGCATATGAAGTAAAGGATTTGAATACAGCAATGCACAGATAGAACATTTCCTCCGAGTCCATCAATCTTTCTCTGCATATTTTTATACGCAGATTGTGTTGTACAGAATATCGTATTTCTAAACAATTCTGCTGCTCCCTTAAGCTTCCTGTTAAATCAGAGCGCAATGATTTCTCCCTGTCATGTCACACGGTAATGCATCATCCGTCTGGCGTCCGCTAGCGTTCCATCCAGACAGACATTAGCGCCGATTCGGATATCTCAGCATGTCAGCATAGAATTGGAGCCAGCTTTTACTCTGTCATTGATGGATAAGCTACATTTTCTGTTGTAAGATTGGTTCGCAAGACTTTACATAATTGTAGCGTTTTGCCAGTTAGGTCATACCGGAATTATCGGTCAATTGTCCCGTATTGATGATCGATCATCACAGAAACACGCAATGCGCATGTCAAACATGCCGATCATCTAGATTTGCAAGTCTGTGGGGTGTTGGCACTCGCACTCTATAGATCTGTTGCAGGGGTCAAGAGGTCATTTTGCGTCCATATATACGGATTACAAAATGTATCATTATTTCAGCACGCACCATCGGTTTTATTCTGGTTCCCGATTTGGAGAAATTGATTTAAACGGAGTTTATTTGTGTTGCTGAAATTAAAGTGAATAAAGATACACTTTAGCACGACAAAATAGAGTTGTAGTATCATAAGCGTATGTCCTCTGTAATTTAGGGGTTATAGGAGAATAGGAATTAGCTTAGGCAAAACAAAATATAATGTATGTTTCATGTTCCCCGACCGATCCTGGTTTTCACCTCTGACCCTAACAATTTTCTTCCAGTCGAGTTGACTTAAACATCAAATTCGAAAGCGCCGAAAATTATTTCATAGGCGGCTATCTAAACCAAATTTAAATTCAATACTACATGCATTACATGTACAGAATGTAACAGACCTAAAATATAAGGAATTGAATATGATTGATCTGGATAACTATGTTTATCGTTTTTGCGTTTTTTTTAATGAGCACCCCCC